AGAAAGAAAGAAAGAAAGAAAGAAAGAAGGAAAGAAAGAAAGAAGAAAGAAAGAAAGAAAGAAAGAAAGAAAGAAAGAAAGAAAGAAAGAAAGAAAGAAAGAAAGAAAGAGATCCTGTCATTTATGGCAACATTTTTTTTCTTTTTTGTGGCATTGGGGATGGAACCCAGGGCCTTATGCACACAAGGCAAGAACTCCACCACTAAGCCACACCCCCAGCCCCATCTCCTCTGCCATCTCCATGAACTGCAGATTCTAACTGCAGGTTTGTTTGTAGCTTCTCAGAAGCCCCTGTTGTTTTCTCAAAGGATAACGCTGTTCATCGACCACACATACTAGTGGTCATCCCTTCCCCCCAAAAATCCTTGTTCTCACAAACGACGACGAAAAAAAAATCCTTGTTCTCCCTGCTGTTTCAGTTACCCATGGTCAGTTGTGGTCCAAAAATATTAAAAAGAAAATTCCGAGGAGAATTCCTAAGTTGTAAAGTATGCACTGTTCTGAATAGCATGGTGAAATCCTTCATATCCAGTGACGACTCCCTGCCGCGGATGGTAGTTAGCCTTGGGCCCAGTGTATCCATGCGGGATGCACTACCCTCCTGCTGGTCACCAGGTAGCTGGCTTCAGTACTGCAGTACCTGCGCTCCAGTAACCCTGCCTTTACTCAGTAATGGTCCCGAAGTGCAAGAGGAGTGGGGCTGGTGACTCAGGCCTGCCAAAGGGAAGCTGAACCGTGCTCCCTTTCAATCAGAAGGTGACAGTAAAATGAAGCATCTGGAGATGGAGCAATCACATTCACATAAATTTTATTGTATATTGTTATGATTGTTCTGTTTTATTGTTGGTTATTGTTATTAATCTTTTGCTGTGCTCAAGTTTATAATCCTTATCAGAGGTATGTATGTAGGCAAAAAAAACATAGCTTCTCCACAGTTGGTGTTAGTTATTTTTCTTGTTGCTGAGACACCATACTGGACACCCACAGTTCAAAGGAGGAAAGGGTTGTTTGACTCACAATGTGTAGAGGTTTCAGTCCATAGCAGGCCGGCCCCATGGCAGGGTGGTATGGCAGAGGAGAAACAGCCTATGGCAGGGCAGGGTGAAGCAGAGAGAGATCAGGGAAGAGGGAGAAGGTGGACCCCCAGCCATGCCCCCAGTGATCACCTCCCCCAGCCAGGCTCCACCGCAGTCATGGGCCGATCCCAAAGGCCTACCCATGCAGCTGTGAGGCCTCAGGGACATCAGGGACTGGCAGTGGTTCCAGGCAGCCAGGGACACGGGGGAGCTGCCTGCGGTATACGGTCACGCTAAAGGCACGCCTTCTCTCAAGGTCACCATGCACGCCAGGAGAGAACTACCCTCTCCAGGTTTCTTCCCCTTCACATTAGCTTTGCGTCCTTAGTAGAGCACTTCCTAGCGGCTCTTACCTCCTTGCTTCCCCCCCACAAACTAAGTCCCTGGAGGGGATAAATGGTCTTTGTGCCCCTGAGGCTGCCTCCAATGACAGCATCCCACACAAAGCGGCCAGTCCATGTTTGGTGAATTCAATGTTGGTCTTAACAGACGTAAAAAGTAAAACTAAAAATAAAAATGTGTGAGCTGGGCATCATGGCGCACACCTGTCATCCCAGCACTCAGGAGGCTGAGGCAGGAGGAGCTCGGCAAGTTCAACACCAACCTGGGCTGCATAGTGAATCCAAGGCCAGCCTAGGTTACATAGCAAAACCTGGTCTCAAAAAAAACAATAAATCAATCCATGGATCAATAAATGAATATTTGGTCAGGGCATGTACCTCAGTGGTAGAGAACTTGCTTAGCATGGATGGGGGGGCCCTGATTCCCAGCACCACAAAAACAAAAATGTTTTGGCTGGGGATATAGCTCAGGGGTATAAGCACCTGCCTGGCAAGATTCCCAGTACCAAAAAAGAAAAAAAAGTTTTTTGTGTTTTGGGTTTTGTTTGTTTTGTGGTACTGGGGATTGAACTCGGGCCTTTCTTCTATGCTACATTCCCTAGCCACCCCTCTCCTTTTTATATTTTTAAAATTTGAATGTTCCATCCTCCTGCCTCAGCCTCCTAGCGCACTGGGATTACAGGTGTGGCGCCATAATGC